CTTTATCTCCATTTTCAACATATCATTACAAACTGACTGGTTTATTAAGAGCAATAAATTATCTAAAAAATCCTTACAATGCTGCCTTGTGACAAAATAGTCATCCATATATCTAACTAACAGTTTTGTTGTCAGACTTACCTCTTCCATGAAGCAGTCCTCCATCCTTAATATGTAAAGTTTCCCTAAGATGCGCCACTCATGGATAGATTAAATAGTTTTGAGATTGAGTCCTTGCTCAGATTTGCTCCCTCAATTATATCTGTATCATACTTCAGGCCGTGTGCTTCAACAACCTGCCGAACTTGGATATTAGTTTACATTGATACCACATCGAAACTAAACACAAGTTCCCCCTCTATAATATTCTGCTGATCTACCAAACTAACCAATTCATATGAATTCCTAACAGAAAATTTCCAATACTCAGACACTTTCCATAGGTTTCTGTTTAAGTATCGTGATATGCCATACATCACACATCCCTAATTATTAACAATCAATCTTAAAGGTACTTCCTTCCTGTGCATCCCTGGAAGGCCCTAAGATGAAGGTACCTCAGTGTTTCATTTTGCACTTCTTTATTTATCCCTTGTTCACACAAACATTACGCGATTCCCTTTGCCTGCATTTAACTCCTTCTGTGTGATGCCTCACTAAAAGTTGTTATGCTTCTAAGCCCTCGTTCTCATTCACTCTTTCGTTTTCGTATTCGCCTTCCATCACATCCTTGTCCTCACTTTCGTTTTTACTTCTTGCCCTCAGTTCAACTATCGCCCCTTTTCTTTCCTTCACCCTAACTCTCATCTTCACATTAGCCCTCTCCCTGGTTCCCCTTCTAGTTCTGGCCTTCGTCCTTGACCTCACTCAAGATTTCGCTTTTGTTCTCGCTCTTGCTCTCGTTCTTTTTCTTACTCTTTTTGTTTTTGTTTTCACTTTAGCTTCTTCTTTTCACCATATTTTCCCTTTTTTACCTCCACCTCCACATCGTTCTCTTTTTCGCTATCATTCTCACTCTCATTCTCGCTCCCATCTTCACTCTCGCCTTCGTCTCGCTTTTACCCTTCACCTTCACCTCACTCTTGCCATTGTCCTCATTCTCGCTTACGCTAATGTCTGGGTACCTGCTTTTTTCTTGCATCCTCTCCTTTTTCCTCACTTTCGCTCTCGCCTCCTGCCTACCCCTAATCCTCACTATGGCTCTCTTTCTCTACCTCTTATTCCTCCTCTCGTTCTCGTATCCATCCTCGATTACCTTCAATTCACTTCGCCCTCAATCTCCATTTTGGCTGGTGCCCTCTTCTTCTGTATCTCGCCCTCGCTCTCACGATTCGCCGTTGCCTTTGCATAACCGACGATTTCAGTGTCGTCAAGCTTCCCGTATAACTATCGATCCGAGCGCAAGATCAACCGTTCCCTCTTCTCCAACCATCAACACTTCGACCAGACCACCATTCCATTGACCCACTTTCCGGAGGTTCATCTGTCTACTAACTCGTCTACTCACTAATCTGTCCACTCATATGGACCCGCATGCCTCCGGCAGAGGCGAATTACATTCTTTGCTGCTGTGCTGGTCGTCAATGCGACCAAGGTGCCTCCAGCCCTCCATTCTGGCGTGAAGTAGCCTATCGAAACATGCGGCCCAAGTCTTCCAGCGTCAGATAAGCTGGTCTTAAGGCGGCCCCTCACCACCTGAGAGTGGGCTCAAGTCAGCATTCAACAGACAGCAGCCAATCGGGCCGGCTGTCGTCAAGGCCAGCTACCTAGAGATAATTATATAACAATTTTGATTTGTTTGCACACTTGACAACCGTCTTTCACTGCACCTGACCATACGGGCGCAGGTCCCCTCATAGGTGGGTCTAGAAGTACGGCCATTTGTTCGTCTGTCGTCGGTGTATGTATGTGTGTGTGCGTGTGTGCTTACGTCTGCTCGCTATCTTATGCGCCTCTGTCTGGCGCCATGCCGAGATCTGGCCAGAGTGCAGATCGAGTATGGCAACCACCGACATCATCCCTCCTATGTCAAAGGCTCTCGCGGTTAAGGCGAAGAGGGAGCTTCGTGAGGATCCTAAAACCATCAGCGCCCATATGACAAGCATCCGACGATGGGCGACCTCAGTTCCGCACATCGAATTCCATTTTGGTAAGCTACTCCCTAGCAAAACAACCCCAGCCAGGTTTGTGTGAAAAGCCGGTTCAAACTTCGATACCAGTTTCTCTCGCGAATTTACACCATAGATTTGCTAATTTCAGACAAATTGACACCTTCATAAGGCATCATGAGCAAGAGTTAATGTACAACGGTAGGCGTGGTGGGGTCTCTATCTTGGACCAAGTCACCCTAAGCAGTACAGCAACGAATTGATCCCATTTTCGTATCATGTTAATGCGACCAGGGATACCTAAAACAACATTCCTTGTCATCCGTCTTCCCTCATAATGGTCATGATAGTTTTCATTTTCGGACTGATAATATACTAAGTCCACGATCGTACCGTGGAAATGATCAAACCGACTACGGCAGAGGAGGTCGGACAAGGTACGTTCTTCGTGGTCTCTCTGGCAAAACAACCAAGCTGCAGCAACGAGGTCAGACAAACTGAAAGTGTAAATATATGTGATCTGACCTCGTTTTCGCAATTTGATCGTGTTGTCAAGGCGACTTAGTTGGACTCACCTTGTCCGAAGTCCTCTGTCAGAGTAGTTATCATAATTTTCAGCGTCAGACCATGGACTTGGTAAATTCCCAGACATTTGACCGGTATCGTCAGTGAGTTTTGCCATTCTCAGCACCAAGCTACAACTCGTCAAAGAGACTAGTTGAGTCGATTCTTTGTTTTATCTCTTTGACGGGTCAGCTAATGTACCAAGTCCACGGTTTGACGCTTGTAAATATGATAACGACAATAGCAGATGACTTCGGACAAGCTGCGCCCAACTATGTCGCCGTGACAACACGACCAAGTTGCGAAAACGAGGTCAGACCATATCTAGGCATAGAAAAGAGATTGCGACTAAAATGGAAGCAACACCATCTTGGCTTTCGTGTCTAAGTTTAAAACACTTAATGATACCTTGATTTTGGTTTAGCCAAGTCTCAAGAGCGTCCTCCCAGGATCGCTTGTTTGAAACTCATGAAATTGTCCGGTAGGTAATACAGTTCCAACAGCTGCAAATGAATTAAATGCAGGGCAATTGCAATGACTAGAGAACTTAAGTTGTGCGATTGAAAATGGCAGTTGAAGAGTTGCTGAAATAAGATAAGTAGGCCTCAAGTTGTCAAGGATTTCGCTTAGCCTTGCTTCCCAAAATGATTTTTTATCCATTTATAACTCCCTATCTGACCTTGCCTCATTGTCTTATCAGCATCGCCAATGAGATTCAAAACCCGATGTGACTTTCAAGAGGGTGCTGATGCAACCTTTGCGAGATCGAACCCACAGTTAAACCTGAACGGGAATACTTTTAAAGGGCAGGGCCGAGTGAAATTAATTGACATTCTAAGGTCTGGGACAAATCCCACTATCCATCCCTAGCTCACCTTAAGTGACCCCGAATGTTTAAGCTCTTATTCGAGAGTCATCGAAAATCACAAAGCGTTCTCTCATTTCATTTAGGTTTACGGATGATGTGAAATCACTGCTGAAAAAGGAAACATTTACTTGGCGCATTTGTCAGTTTGCTTGTTTTGTTTGTCATTTATGTCGGATAGCTCTGTGGTGTACTACTGATTAGCGTAGGCTCCCCGAGTCAGCCCTATTTGATCTTCGTCGTTTTCAACATTTGTGAACAGATCCTGTCTAGGGCTCAGCTCATATAGTCCATTTTGGGTGGTACTGCTAAGCGTTTATTATGACAAGACCTTTTGAGGTCAGTAGCTTGATCCTCTATGTTTTTCAAGATCAGTTTAAATGAAAAACAATAAAAAAAATGGAAGAATTGTGATATGGCTTCACTACGCGACAATACTCCTTCGGTTTTAGGTGAGACCACATCACGAATTCCTTACAGTTACCTCTTTCTTAGAAATGGAAAGTCACCTCGCAATATA